CCCCAAAACCCCAAAACCCCAAAACCCCAAAACCCCAAATTAGCATCAAATATTGTAAATATAAAAATGTTCATATCCTTTATTGTCTCTCTTGTAGGAATTTTAGCTTTATCAAATGCTGAGTTACTATTTGTCTCTGAAATCTCACGTCACGGGATTAGAGCACCAGGAATAATTTATGACTTGGCGAAAGATCCATCTGAGAATTTCCAAATCCCATATAAACTTTCTCCCAGTGGACAAAGGCAGCACTACCTCATCGGAGCAGAAATCAGGAGGAGATATATGGAAAATGAGCCTATAATCTCTAAGAAGTATAATAACACAGAGGTATTCTTTAGATCTTCGAACTCCAGACGCACACTTGAAAGCTTGGAGAGCCAACTAATCGGCCTTTATTCCCCTGAAGACTGCTATGAGACTCTTAATGACTTCCAACAGAACAAAGCGATACCTCCCTTTGAATTTGAAGGAATGGATGAGATAATAGAGGAAGAAGGAAGTTCAGCCCTACCAAGCTGTCATTCCTTACCCCCAATATTTTCAAGAAATCGGTACTATGATTTCAAGTTATCTATGTTTACCGCCATATGCCCTGTATATAAACTTATAAACGATGATTTAAAAGATAGTAGGAAGCTGAAGGTCATACAGCAGCCATATGTAGAGCACCTGAACAAATTACTTAAGCCAATTATTAACGAATCCCTTACACCTGCTGAAGCTCTTACCTACTGTAAGTACCTGATGAATGCCCGTATACATAATATAGAGCTTGTGCTAAATTATACTTCTGAAGATAACGCCCAATGCTTGGAGCTCATAGACACTCAGCTATTCTACGAAGTATGGGGTAATAATATTCTCTGGAAGCTCGGCTCTAAAAGATTCTTAGAGCATCTTTTATACTCAATGGAGGAGATACTCAAGGGAAAAAGCGAAGAAAGACTACATATTAATGTTGGCCATGACATGACTCTTGCCCTGGTTTTGAATGGGCTGGGATACCAGATAAGAACCCAACCTCCCTTCGGCTCAACTCTCTTCTTTGAACTCAGATCAAAGGATGATAAATCTGGTTATTATGTTCGAACTCTGTATAATGATGAACCCATCACCTTCGGCCAATGTGAAGAACAAGAAGGTTCTCTGGAAGGCTGCAGCTTCGAGGTTTTCAAGAAAAATATTGAAGACAGAATGATCAAGGGGAACATCTACGAAATCTGAGGAGATGATGAACAGCTCAAAAAAATTGAAGACATTTTCTCACATTACGAACTTCTTGAAACTTCAGAGCTAGAGTTCCTCAAATAAGCCTATCAACTTTTATGCTTACTAAAGGGGTTTTGGGGTTTTGGGGTTTTGGGGTTTTGGGGTTTTGGGG